CAAAGACCCCTCTGTGCCATGGGGTGACAATGCCTTCCCCTGGGTGTTAGAGGTTGCAGTTATCATGGGACAAGTGCCCAGCAGAAGCATGCTCCATGAGTGGGGCAGTCCCCTCAGTGCTGGGAGCCGATTTTCTCCAAGATGCCACTCTAAGCTCAGATCCCATCAGGACACAGTCAGTCCCTTTATCACAGGCTGTCACCTCCAAGGATGGGTGTCCCAAGGATGGAAGGGGGCTGTTGTGAGGAGGAGGGGGCCCTGAGGGCCATGGCCGAGCTCGAGCAGGAGGTGTGAGGAGGACGTGAGGGTGACTCTGCAGACGACAGACAGCTCCAGACTCCCCTCCCCCACGTTGCTCCAACCTCAGCAAAGGGCTGAGCACACAGGCTGTGGTGTCAACAGGCTCACGAGCTCGTGCACCACGCACCTGTCCACGTGCATGTGCATCCTCAGCGTGCGCACAGACACACCGCTGTAACACACTCACCCAGACAAGCCTCCTCTCCTGCATTCCACAAGGTCATTTCCAGGCTTACAACGTTGGTGACCCCACTGAGTGGAGCCTCTAAACAGGACAGCTGGGGATGCCAGGGTGACAGGAGCTCACGCCTCCCCAGGTTCCAACCAGGTGATGAACATCAGGAACGTGTCCCCAGACCGAGCTGCCGCCCCACCCGCCGAGCCAGGGTTTCTTCTATGGCCTAAAATGCCCTCCCTACAATCTCTGGTTTTTCTGTTACAGTCACGCCAAGAGGCCAAGCCTGGAGACCTGATTGACATTTTTCGCAATGGCTATGAGCACTGGGCCATCTATGTGGGAGATGGCTATGTGGTCCACCTGGCATCTCTGAGTAAGGACAGGTGAAAATGTAACTCTCAAAATACTTGTTAATGAGACAAGAAAACCACTGAAAGACAGAGTTGAGCAAGGGAACCCCAAGTGGGCAGACGCAATCTCCATGAGAAGGCTTGATAAGAAATTGTGTCCCCATGTGCCCTGCAGTGAGCACGGTGGGTTCCGCAGGTCCCCACAGGACAGGGGCATGTCTGTTGGCTCAAACAGTGTAGCTGGGCTGCTTCAGCCTCAGTTCATTCCAGCTCAAAGCCAGGTTACCCCAGTCCACAGATCTGGAATGACTTCAACCAGCCAAGTTTCTGAAGGTCTGGGGTCTAAGGAACGTTTCTCATGAAGAAAAATGTTTTTTCACCCTATGTCCTTTTTTTCTTATGATTTCTATACTTAATAGTCCCTAACAGAAGTAGTTTTTACTGGTTAACACATAAACAAAACTTCTCATAGCAGTGCATGGAGAGCACATGTCAATGGTTTATTTAACTCCTTCATAAGAGAAGCAGAAGATGTCAAAGCCAGTAGAAAGGAGAATGCAGGAGGCAGACGTGCAGATGGCGAATGAAAGAACAGAAGCGAGGCCGGCAGGAGACGCAGAGCAGGCCCCGCAGCTTTCGATGTCCTCTTTGCACCCGGCATTGGCACTGCCGCGGGAAAAGATCATCGTCATCCCCCTCAGAACAGGACACTGGCACCTTATTTTTGAAGAGGGTCATCAGCTACTGAGCACAATAATTAGGCATGTTCTCCCTCTGACCCCCGGCCTCGAGATTAGAAATAGGGGTCGGGGGGGGAACGAGCCTCATTATTGTGATCAGTAGCTCCCGACCCTCTTAAAAAATAACACCTGGACTCACCTTAGAAGGGAATTTGGACTCTATCACTTGATAGCTTCTCTGTGAACCCACCATGGTGGCCAGAGCTGTGGCAGGTCATGCGACAGAAGACACTCAGGTGAGGGGCTCCCTAAGGTCAGCTCAGCACAGGGGAAGGAACTTGCTCTTCGGGGCGTGAGAGCAGCAGTCTCGCCTCCTGCTGCAGGACTGTTCTCAGCACAGCAGAGTCTGATTCTCTCTCTCTGGGCAATACTGGTTGTCAAATGAAGAGAATGATATTTTCCTGAAAGATAAAAAGGAGATTAAATGAGGTAATACATGAAAAACAGCACAGCATAGTATCTGCAGCACGGTGGGCACTAAAACCAATGAGGTCTCTCTATGAAACACACAAGAGGACCGTGTCACCACACCCACCACCACTGTGGCTTTAGGACTGGAGTCTCGCCTCCTGCTGCAGGACTGTTCTCAGCACAGCAGAGTCTGATTCTCTCTCTCTGGGCAATACTGGTTGTCAAATGAAGAGAATGATATTTTCCTGAAAGATAAAAAGGAGATTAAATGAGGTAATACAATAAAAACAGCACAGCATAGTATCTGCAGCACGGTGGGCACTAAAACCAATGAGGTCTCTCTATGAAACACACAAGAGGACCGAGATGAACAAATAATCTGTTTTATTATCATTGTTTATGGGGTGAACATTCTTTAAAAACCTAAATGACCAATAATAGCGGGTTGGTCACGTAAATGATGTACGTGCACATGATGGAACACTGTGGCAGCCTTGGGCAACACAACGTTCATTGTCTTGAAATAATATTTACATCTTATGAAGTAAGAAAACCAAAATCTGTGAATCCTCCGATCACAGGTTTGAAAGGACAAACATCACAGGCTCAGCAGTGGGTTCCCTTGTTCCTTCTTTCCCATCTTGTGCTCTTCTCTCCCCACATCGCCCTCCCCTGCTGCTCCCAATGAGGTGTCTCTGGTTCCAGGTAAGTGCCCCAAGGTTGTCTCTCCCAGCGTCTGCTCGATTCTAAGCGACACACCAGTGATGAAACGTGAGCGCCTGGAGGACGTGGGGTGGGCTGTCGCTACCGGGTCAACAACGACTTGGATCGGGAGTATAGACCACGTCCTGTGACCGAGATCATCAAATCTGCAAAGGAGAAGGTTGGTCAGGAGGTTGAGTACAGTCTTGTGACAAAGTACTGTGAGCACTTTGTCACCGACCTGAGATACGGCAAGGAACACTGCGAGCAGGTAAGGCCTTCTCTGGGTGATCTGTGTCCCACTGGGACGTCTGCTTGGGGCAGGGTTGACTGGGCTGTGCAGCCAAAGGGAAGACGTGAGAGATGCTAAAGCCATCTCTCAGGACCTGCTGACTGGGAGTCAGGAAGTCTGAGCTCCCCTCCCAGATCTGCATCTACTGCACAGAGAATCTGTAGACAGGACACTTCCCCCCTGGGCCTTGCTTTTCATGTGCAGAGGAGGAGTTGGATGGAGGACTCCTGAGGGCCTGGCCAGCTCTAACGTGGATCCTTGGCCTCTGAGAGCAGCTCCTGAAACCCCGTAGGTCATCAGGAGTGTATAGACTGAACTAGGACCATGACACCTCTGCTAAGTCCCCAAGAGCTCTCAAACAAGAGATGTTCAGGATCCATGGGCCTTCTTCGTAAGAGCTCAG